TTTTTTTTTTTTTTTTTTTTTTTTTTTTTTTTTTTGCAACTCCTTGGCTTGGACTTATGTCTCTCTTTGTAAATTTCAGAGATCATTGAAATTTATTTCTATTATGAAATAGATATGCATGTATATATAAAATATTTAGCCTAAGAACCAAGTAGGTGATCTTTTCCTATGCAATAGTTCTCTTGGTACGTCTGCTTATTTTTGCTGAAAAGTTTGCCTACAGCATTTTTTGCTCAGTTCTCTACTGAGAGTTTTAGTTATTACGTATTGTATTTGACCTGTATATTGATGGAGCTGTGTTGCTTTATTTGGTATATTTTTCTTTGCAGTGTCGATGATGGATTTCCTCCAGTTACTTTCCATTTCGAGAATTCACTCTTGTTGAAGGTTTATCCTCATGAATATCTATTCCAACATGTAAGTATGCTGGACTTGCGCTTGTGTATGTACTGACTACTAACCCTTGACCTTACTGCAAGAATAGGCGGTTTTCTATTTCTTTTTTCTTTTTTTATTTTTTGAAACAAGAATGGGTGCAGTTCTTCTAGACCCGTAATGTCTATCAACGTTTTATGATCCAACTGATAGTACTGGTTTTAGACTGCAATCTTTCTTTATCTTAGGACTTTTTGACACTACTATTAATCAATTTGTGGTCTTGTCCTCATCTCTTATGAGATTTAGATGAGATTTTTTATTATGAATTTATTTACCTAGTGAACTTCACTATTTTCCATATCATTCATCCTATTTTAAGTTTGAAAATTAATGTTTCGTACTATTGAAAAATAAAATGAAATGACATTGCGAGCAGAACAGTCTTGATGGGCCATGCCTTCACAGTATTGCTTTCTAGACCAGATAGACATTTTTATCTACAAGAACTATTGTTTGGTACTTTTCTATTTTAGTTTTATTTAATGTAGTCCTTGCATATATTTTGTCAATAGTAGTCAAGTGGGCTTGCTAAAGACGAATGTGTTGTCGTGCTTCTTGGGTTGTCTAAGACCTTGTATTTGCATTTTACGCTGAGAGGCTTTTGAACCCAAATAGTTTACTTTGTAGAGTTTGTCATATGTACTGAAATTTTGTTTTCTAATCGGGTTATTTCTCTCGGAGTGGTTGAATGAGTTGGTTTACTAATATAGACTTTCACAGGAGGGCTTGTGGTGTATTGGTTGGCAAAACAGTGGGATGCAATCTAGGGATAGGAAGAACGTTACCCTCTTTGGAGGTAAACTCCATAATTTGTCCGTCTGAATATTAGTTCATGTCTTAAAATTCTAATTCGCCTGCTATTGGCAAGAGGGCATGCTAACTTTTAGTATATCCATAATCCCTCATTCTTCTGTTGATTGTACAAGTTGCTTATTCAGGCAGTGTGCTATTAAGAGCTCTTGTTTACTGAGAACTTTATGGGTTAAAAATCATGCCATTAACGAAAAAAAACTAAATGCTGCTTCTATACTGTTCTCTTTCTTGATGATATTACCTAGTTTTTTTTCTGTTGCTATGACGAAGGCCAAGCTGATATTTGATATATTTTTAGAATATTACAATTAAACAAGGGGTGAGGATTCAAACCTACTATCTATATCGGGAGAGTAATTAAATGCTGCGACTAATTTATTCTTTGGTTAATCAAGTTAATATTTCTACTGGGTTCTACCTCAATCCTTCGTCTCCTTCGTTGGAGAAACGTGAAAGCATGTCGAACTCTTCCCGGATGTTACATATAATGGGATGAAATGTAATAGTCAGTCCTTGTAACACTTGACCATGGAAATAAAATGGTGTCGAGAAAGGTTGTAGAGCGTATAAGTAGTTGTAAGCGTATGTGTAAATGTGATTATCCATGACTTCTCGTGTTTCAACTCTTAGTTCCTACTGAATAGTGGATGGCTTTCTTTCCTTTCATCATGAAACTTCCATATATGTGTTAAATTTAGCAAAAGGCGTAATGACTGCTCTTATGTTCTCATTTTCCTGTCATTTAGGCCTTCAGTTATATCTCTTTTGCTTGCAGATTTAGTGCTTTCAAATAAGCTAGTTTTATACGATCTCGAGAACCAAACAATCGGGTGGACCGAATACAACTGTGAGTACAAAGTTATTGCTTCATTGTTTTCGAAGTTGTTGCCGCATGTCATTACATGGTTTTTTTTGCTCTTTTTTCCCCAATATTTGCTGTATTTTATCTGAACTTCAGTGCTGGTCCTCAATTTTTTTATGATCGTCCTTTATGTCTTAAAGAAACTCAAAACCCGAGTTTGAATCTTTAAATGTTAAAAGAGACCAATTTGAAGTGTAATAATCTTTCTTATTTCGTTTACGAACTGAACAAACATTTCTGACATCTTTGGTAAGAAATTAGTGTGTGAATATCTGAGATTGTAGTTGATTTTTCAGGTTCTTCAAGCATCAAAGTGCAAGATGAACAAACCGGAACAGTTCATTTAGTTGGTTCACATTACATTTCTTCAGCGTACAGATTGAATACCAAATGGGCTGTGATGTTGCTATTCCTAATCTTGGTGATGCACTGGTCAGCTCATTCCAGATGCCTCAGCTAACACAAAATCCCGACAGCAGGCCCTACAGGTAATATTTTTAGAACAGACAGAATCAAGTATAGAGAATTCCTTAAAATGTTGAACTCATCTCAGTTGTGTATAATGAAGAGAGAGAGAAAAAGAAAAGGGAAGAGAGAGAATTTCTCTTTCGAAGTTGCTTATGAAATCTATCATCTCTGATTGATTTGTGTTTAGATTTGTAGAATTGAGTTGGCTATGTCTGCTAAAAGATTCGCAGACCCTCTTCAGCAGTATAGTTTCTGGTAGTAAAAATAGGAGGGCAGGTTGCTTTGTGGTGAACCCCAAGGGTAAAAATGTCAGAAATATTTATTCTACTTGGGAGGCATTGTTCATATTGCTCTCAAATTTCCATGTTTGAGAAGCTTTTTTTACTTGTATTTTTTAGTTAGGGGTATTAATGTAATTTTATATAGCTAGTATAGTATTTTTTTTATTTTTTTTTAATGAAATTTTCAAAATCTGAGTTTATTTTTTAAACCAATGACATTTGAAATTAATGGTAAGGGTATTTTTGAACTTTTCTTTTAAAAATCTAAAAGTATTATTAAATTTTTTTAAAGTATCAAGTTAACGAGTATTTTTATTAATTTAGTTTTTAATCCTATGATATTGCATGTGCATCATGATTCTATTTTTTTTTTTTTTTTATCTTGATAAATATTACTAAAATTAAAATTAAAGTTCTTATATGGATGTATACCAATTTATTTATTGAGTTTTAACTAATTATTTAGGACCAATTAAAAATCTTTGAAAACCATAGATACAAAATTGAAATTAAGTTTGAATCATATTTGTAGTTTAAAATGGTTAAAATTATTAGAGGACTAAATTGAAAATAAGCTTAAGTGTATGTGAAACGATATTTAAAGGTATAGATATTTGTCTATCGGGGTTTAAAACGAGCAATTATTTTTCATTTTCATTTCCTTAAATTCTTCCTTTATTTTCGTGGAGATTGGTTGATAATTATTTTTTTTTTCATATTTTTAACAAATTATTAAATTTGGATGAATAATTTTTATTTTTAAATATTATTTTTTTATAAAAAGAATATAAAACATTATAATAAATTTAATAATATTTCATAAAAATATTATAATACAAAGTTTTATAAACATAATTTATATAAGAATTTAAATTTCAATATTATAACAAAAATCTTCCACTGGGCTACATGAGTGAACGGGTTGATTATATATATATATATATATAATTTATTTGTAATCAAGAAACCGAAGAAAGATGATGAATGGACATGATTTGGAAAGGAGGATTTTGTGTTAATTAATTTTGGGATGTTAACAAGTGACTTCCACCATTATCTGTTTCGCGGTCTTTAATATTCAAAGACGAGTTTCTAAAATTATTTATTTGGAGTATTAATTTGGATGAGGAAAGAGAGCGAGAGAATGAGAGAAAAAACAGGATCAATTTCGGAGTTTTAACTTCGGGAATATGAACGAATCACAAGAATTTGGTCGAGGAGATCGTTGATGTTCTTCCTGATGAAGAACTGAACAACAATTTGTCAAATTGTAGATTCTGTTCTTCTTCTCGGAACGCCAACCATTTCTTAGTAAATCCATATGTGCATTCTCAGGTAAAGTGCCTTTTGAAGATCATAGAATTGCTTTTCGTTTTTTTTTTTGTTTTGGTTCTGTCGTTTTGAACTTTTCGGTGATTAATCATTGCCTTTGGTCGGTTTGTCGTTTCTTTTCACTGTCGCCGCCTACATCGGGTTTCGATCTCCTCTGTTTTCCGCGTTTATTTTGCTCGTCGGAGGAAACTTATGTCTAATCCTTGAGTTTTTGTCGCATTGTTATGTTGATAATTGCATCGATGTGATTGCTTTCCTGCGTGATTGAATCACTGTCTATGTGCTACATCGGCAGGTTTTGTGTAGGGATCATCACTGAGGAATTTGGAAATGTCTGAAGAGGATTTCTATCGGTTTGCTGATTGAAATTTATTGCAATCATCAAATTGAAAGGTTGACGACGGTGGATTGCGTCGTTCTGAGTGTTTGGTAGGTCTGGAGTGCTTTCTAAACGTTGTCAGGGCCCTCGGGATGGGATCATGTCTCTCTGGGGAGCGCAAGAACCGAAAGATCGTTTATTCTGAGATCGCTTCCACTTCTCATAATGATGCCGTTTTTACCCGAAAGAGCTCCAGGAGGAAGATTACGAGAAGAGGTTGTCCCGTTGATGACGCTACAAGGGAGATGTCGCTTCATCGAGTTCCTGGCCGGATGTTTTTGAATGGATCAACTGATAATGCGACGCTCTTTACTAGGCAAGGCAAGAAAGGCGTTAATCAGGACGCTATGATTGTCTGGGAGGTTTGATTCGTTCTCTCAAATTTTGTTGGTAATTTGGTGCCATTGCATGTGAATTTTGATTGTATATCCTTTTTCTGTTGAATGTTCAATATCCACGTTATGTAGAGTATTTCTGTTCTTCGTGTTTCAGGAACTACACATTTTAGAGATGTGGATTTGGTCGAACATCCTCTATTCTTGACGAGCATAGCATGTAAAGTTAGGGTCAAAATTTATGATATCTTCCTTTTAAGTTCTTCATGGGTAATATTAAAGGATTAGTCTTGAGATACCACTTTCCAAAATATATATATATATATATAAGAAACATGTTTGTTTTTCTCTCTGCGCTCCACCCTTAACGTTATCAAATTTGCGGTAGTGGTGTACTCACTTTTTTAGTTTTGGTTTTTGTTTGGAGTTGATGTTATTTTTCTCTTTTCCTTCTAATGTAACTGTATATTTTTGTTATCCTATTTTCGTTATCAGGTATTAAGTTTTGCATTGATGTGATTATTGCTAATAGTTCGGTTTAGAAGTAATAAACGAACCCGCTTTGCAAGTAGAATTGTAGATATATATTGTTGTTTAAAAGTGAATTTTGTGCTCTGTTAGATCTTATTTTTCTGCATTTATGTTTTAATATGTTTTTTTGTTTCGTCTGAATAATGGCCTCTCTTTTTTAGAATTTTGGTTCAAAAGAAGATGCAACCTTTTGTGGAGTCTTTGATGGACACGGTCCCTTTGGCCATATGGTTGCAAAGAAAGTCAGAGATTCTCTTCCTCTAAAACTGAGTGCTCAGTGGGAATTGGACGCTACCAGAGGGAATGGGCAAACTGAGGCGAGATGTCGAGTCTCTCCACCAACGCTGATTAACAAGGACTCTGAAATCTCTCATTGTGATCTTGCTCGTCAGGACGGTTACAATGACATGTATGTCAACTTGAAAGAGTCTTTTCTAAAGGCTTTTAAGGTGATGGACAAGGAGCTTAAACTACATCCTCATATTGATTGCTTTTCCAGTGGTACAACATCAGTTGCTTTGGTCAAACAGGTGTTAATTTTCGTCTCGTCATTTTCGATGCTGTTGAAAAGTGCAGTTAATATATGTGGTTTGATCTTTTCTTTTTTTACCCTTCTTGTGATAAACAGGGTCGGGATCTTATCATCGGAAATGTTGGGGACTCGAGGGCTGTATTAGGTACCAGAGATAAATCTAACTCTCTCATTGCAGTTCAGTTGACTGTGGACCTCAAGCCAAATCTTCCAAGTACGCCTTTATTCTCACTCTCCCTGTAACTATGAATATATCTTTCCGTGTCCTCTTACATCTGTGTATATACTATGTTGTATTCCTAACTTGTCTGAAGGAAATGCAAACACTTTCCAGTTGATTAGAGAGGTCCGGTAAACTCTCCTCTCCTTCTAGAACACTCTAATAGACAAAAAGCATAAAAATAATGAAAGCCATCCCTCTCTACTTATATACTTCTTCCCCTAACTGAAAATCCCTTTGATCGACCCCTGGTGGTCCCTCGCTCATGTCACAGCCTTTCTAAGTAACTTGTTGTCTCTGCAATTCATTTATTGCCTCTCCTTGCATATTGATGGAATTGGGGGCCTAACAGATACTTGTTGGCACCTTTTAGAAATCACTTCCATTTTTCAAGTGAGCATGTGTCCGACAATCGGGCTGATGAATACACGATATTCATTGGTTGTACGGAATAAAATGTTAAACCATCCATGCCTTAAAGGGACCATCGGGAGTATTGGTGGAAGAGCATTTGCTATCAGTTTTCTCTGATGAATTGATGCTAATAATTGATATGAATTGAACATTTCCTTTTCGCTGAAATCTGTAGAAACAATATGCCATTACCTCATGAGCACTAACATTATTGTAAAGAACTGTTGATCATGTCCATAGAATTCTCTATTGATCTTGGAATTTTTTCCTCCTGCTCTGTTGACATGGTCTTAAACTTCATAACCTGGACTCCTTGAGGGCAGCACCCTTTTCTTTTTTCCAGCTTTTGAGTTGGCTGATTATATGATGGTTACAGTAACTTCTAAAATTTAAGTAAAGGGTGGATACACTATTTCATTGTATGGAATATTAGTAAGCAGCTCAGTCTGTATTTTCCTTGTTCTCTTCTTTTCCTACTTTTGGCTTGTCGTGGCTTGAGCTTTCCTGTTTGCAAAAGAGTTACCAACATAAATCAGGTTTATCATTTACTAATTTACTCAAGTCCTAGGTTATTTTTGTTTATTCGTTTGTTTTTGGTGTAATGGTGTGGCGATCATCATAAATACCTTCCACTATTGATGGTTCAGGATCTCAAATAGAAAGTTCGTGCAAGAGTATTGTTTGTTTGTGTGTATAAAACCTTCTGTTTCTTCCTTCAATAGGGGAAGCTGAAAGGATCAGACTTTGCAAAGGAAGAATCTTTGCTCTTCAAAGTGAGCCTCAGATTTTTCGGGTTTGGCTTCCCAACAGTGATTGTCCTGGTCTTGCTATGGCCAGAGCCTTTGGAGATTTCTGTTTAAAAGACTTTGGCTTGATAGCCGTTCCTGACGTTTCTTATTATCATCTTTCTGAGAAAGATGAATTTGTGGTACTGGCTACAGATGGGGTAAGATGTCTAACCATTAACGTAGTGTCAATATTTTGATCATTTGCAGATTTTCATTGATCATTAGCTTTTTATATCACATTCTTTGCAAAAAAAAAAAAAAAAACGAAAGAAAAAAAGGAAGTAGATTGTTGGTTTCCGAGAGATCCAATTGTGAACCTGACTTGTCCTTCAAAGGCATCCCCCCATGTATTCTAATCTTTTTCATTACTTATTCCCTTTCGCAGGTTTGGGATGTTCTCTCAAATGAAGAGGTTGTGGCAACTGTTGCATCTTCCCCAAGATCCTCTGCAGCTCGTAACCTTGTGGATTCAGCTACTCGAGCTTGGAGATGTAAGTACCCTGCTGCCAAGGTGGATGATTGTGCTGTAGTCTGCCTGTTCCTGAACTCTAGTGAGACCACTACAGCGATACCTAAAGAGCAGGTAGAAGCATTCAGAAATCCTAACATCCAAACCAATGTGATGAAGTCTAAGAAATCAAAATTATAGATTTCGTTTCCCTTCATTTTCGTCGAAATATTCGAGGAACTCTGTTTCTTACAATTGGATTTTGTTTCAGGAGTTCACTGAGGAAATGGAAACTAAGTTCTCTTAACTTGCTTTGGTCGCTATCCTCTCTACCAAAACCTTTGATTGCTGCTTCAGGCGCGTTTCTTCCGAAATAAAAGATCTTCATTTCTATGATTATGGTCATTTTCCCTGTTCATCCTGTAAATCGTGATTGATATATATAGTTTTTTCCTTTTTGTACTCTCTCTCCTTTTTATAGAAGAGAGATTTGGTGGAAGCCTTGATTGATTCTGTTCATCTCTCAGAAATAATATTATGTATAGATAGATAAAAGCTCTTTTTCCTCAACGTCTCTTTGGTTTACATTTGCTTTCAGTATTGAAATAAGGTAGAAGGAGGGCTTGGAGGAGTTTTTAGAAAGAAACAAAAGGGAAAATACGATGTCGATCCATATGTATGACGGAATATTATGCATGTATGCATGTATATATGTTTAAATTAAACTTTAAACTTCAAACTAATTAAATTTTAGTAAGGGAAGAAATAGTAGTTAACAAAAAAGCACATAAAATCAAGCTTACGTTATTGGTAAGAGCAATAATACTGAAAAAGTGGACAACAGTGCTCAAAGTCCTAAGATCCCAATGCAAAATGAGAAACATCTGAGAAAAATCACAAGGATCTTTCAATCAAGGAACCTGCAAAAAGGGGGGGGATTCTCTAATGAAAATATCCAAGAACCTGACCACCAACATTCCTTTTTATTGCCTCTTCATGATCCAAGATGCCTTCTGGAGTAGTAATCACAACATAACCCCACTGTAGCGAGCCAAGAGAGAGTAAAATATTTGGTTAATATAAACGAGAACTATCACCATTTATGGGGAAGATTGAATGGCGAATAGACTCGGATTCGAATGAAATATATATATTAGTCAAAACACCTGACGTGTTGGAAGCGTTCGTATTCTGTAAGCTTCAATTTCCTTTGCCTTGATGTCCTGCCTGTAGGTGAGAGCCTTGCAATCCTTGATCCTACCTTGCAGCTCAACTGTTATCCTTCCAACTCGTTGTGGATCATGAACTTGAAAGTCATTGATATATCCTATATATAAAATTTGACGACTCCATAAATGAGATGCTTACAGAGTAGAATCACTAATACAAAATTATTGACAGTGATAATAACATTAAAGCACAAGCTATAGGCTAGATCAATCCTCTTTTTTTTTTTTTTTAAACAAGAAATGAAACTTTTCTTTGATGGATGAAAAGAGACTAAAGCACACGCAAAACTGCAGGAGGAGTGAAACAAGAATAGACAAAGAATACAAAGGGAAATCAAATAACACAAAACTTGAAGAGACGACCCAACATAAGCCTTCGAAAGAGTACATCATGATGAAGGTTTTAAATGAGCAGACTCAGAATGAACATGTCAAAGAAGGATCCAATGAAAACGTGACAACCAAGTATCGGATAAAAAATCCGCAATAAAATAAAACTCCCAGCAATGAGGGAGCGTCTGCCAAAAACAAAACAAAAGATCACACTCATGGCTGCACAAGAACCAAGACCATTGAGAGAGGAAAAAAAAAAACACCTCAGCACACCAACCAACCAGAAAGCTCCTTAAGCACCACCTCCGAAAATAAAACCTTATGCACACCAACCAAAAGAAGAAGAAAAAAAAAAGGATCCCTATGCCTAACAACTGAAAGCAATGGTCTCAAGCAAACTTATGAATAGGAATGGAGAGATCGAAAATCACTCCAAAGAAACTTCCTTCCTCTATAATCATGCAGCTCCTCAAGCACCACTACCGAACATAAAACCTTGCGCACAATCAATAGACTTGGTTTTCATTTCAATCGATTGTTCCTCAGTCTTTAACAAAGCATAAACATGTTTAAAAGTTAAAGGATCTGATCTTGGCTTGAATAGAGGTGCAAAAGGCATTGAAATCATTTGGCAAACCATTCATGATACATATAAGTATTTCTCAATCATCAACAGTCATTCTGATATAAGCAGGACGGTCTTTAAGATCTTAAGCACGTTGGCCATGCAAATCAATCAACTCATTAGACTTCTTGGTTCGGGTTTGTAGAGAAGATCACCATTGAATAATATGGAATTGAGACCAAAAAAAAAATAACTTGGTCTCAAGGAGAACCAAAGTGTCACGAGATGTGACATAGCCAACAACCAGCGACAAAAGAGGGAGACATCATTGAATTGATGAGAGCCCTGATCACAAGATCTTGAGCAATCCAATCGCCATACTGTGGATTGATATTTGTGGCAAGCTTGCCATCATCATCCCAAAGAAACTAAGATGGAATTGGGCAAGATCCGTCAATAAACCCAGATAATTTATGAGCCCGAAAGATAGGTAAGATCTGATGATGCCAAAGAGACAAATTGATGGAGTCAGTTTGATAGGCACGAGATTACAAACATTTGACAGAAGACGAATGAGGAGAGAATTTCGATTGAGGATAGAATCGGTGGTAGTGGGAATGGTACAGTGTGGAAGAAGAAGGTGAAACGATCAATAATACTCCTTGCGTATTATTAATGGACACTTCAACATGTTTATAAGAATAATTAAGCTCGAAAATATAGAGGAACATAATGAACATTACTAACAACAATTTGTTTCAAACAGAAACTAATTACTACATGATAAAGCACAATACAAGTACATATAACATCAACCATGAAGAAAAAAAAGATACAAAATGATTACAAAAAAATCTCAACATGAAGGCAATGGCAATATGAATCTGTCAATTGCAGGCACTGGAGCAGAAATCCCATGTAATTAATAGGGCCTAACAATACTGTAAAATCCAAGTTAGTCCCGCACCCAGAAAGCTAAGAGAAACGTAAGTTTTACCATGATCTTTCATGACTTTAAGGAAGGCAGACATAACAGAAGAAATGGGTTTGAGTTCCACCGTAGCTTTTCCCCTCCTCTCAGCATTGACAATCGCTCTTAATGCATCGTTCAATATCCTCCTACCCATATCTTAGAGTACACGAAAAGTCACAAAACCTGAGACCAAATTTCCTCTATCATGGCGTTTTCCTACGTTACCGATAAAATTCTGACACAAGACTCGTGGAGAAGAAATTTCGAAATGGAAATTGATGGTGATGTTACCTGCGACCTATTTGAACCGGTGAGGCAGAATAGAAAACGACGGCGCGGTTGGCTCAGCCCTAACTCGAGATACAACTCCGAACTGCGGTGGAAGAAATGGAGGCGGTGAGGCAGAAGAGGAAACGACGGCGCGGTTGGCTCAGCCCTAACTCGAGATACGACTCCGAACTGCGGTGGAAAGAAATGGAGGCAATTTCCAGATGTGGGGGCAATTTTCAAAACTATAAAATTTGGAAAAATAGTCCTTTTTTATTTATTCCAAATTTACCCTTCATTTAAAATTTTTTTTTACGAGTTTTATTGTAAACTTTCATTTAAAAAAAATTACTATATGCTTTTAACAATTCAAAATTAATAATATTTCATACATTTGAGTCTATCATTTTCTTTTTTTTTTTTTGTTAAAATTTGTGAATTGCCCGAACGTTTAAGCCTTTTTTGCCCTAAGAGCGATTGGTCGTGGGGTTATTTAGATTAGGTGATTAAAGAAAACTCGGGTCCAATGGGCTAGGACTCGATTGCTCATGGGTTCGCCAACCTAGGTTCAATCAAACCCAAACTTGCCTCCCAAAGAACATATGACTTTAGTCATTCCTCTTCGAGTTATTATCTTCGAGATATATTTCATAGAGTTTAATTTTATTCTAATACTTCATATAGTGTTTACATTTTGTGGATAAAATATATTTTTTTAAAATTTTAGTTAAATTAAAATTTGAGGACTAAAATTAAAGGTTATATTAAAATTTCTATTGAAAATATACATTTTTTGAAAGCAAAATAATTAGACAATTAAATATGAAATTCTTAAATTTAAAATTTAAAAATTTGAATGTTAAATGTTTGAAATATCTATTTTAGTTCTTAAATTTTAAAACCATATTCAAATTAAAAATTTATTAAAATAATATCAGCTCCAAATTTTTATTTAAAGCACGACAGGTAAAAGCTAAAATAGTTATTTATTATTTATTATTATTATTATTATTTTAAAATTTGGCGAACTTACTAAATATTTAATAATTATTTATCAGAACTTAAAAGCTAAAGAAAGATTAACCTCAACCGGCCGTTGATTGGTCTGTCACCATTGTTGCGTCACCCTCTTGGTGAAGAGAATTTCTGAAGCCGCGTTTGTGTGAATTCAACGATCTTAAAATTTGGTTTAACCAAAAAAAAAAAAAAAAAAAAGAAAAAAAAAAGAAAAGAAAAGAGAGAGAAAGAGAGCTTTAACAACAAACGTTTCGCGCGATCTCTCTCTCTATATGAGAAATTTGCGTTCTCCTCGCATATGCTAGCATTTCGAATTCCGTAACAGGTAAGATCGGAGAGAGATCGAATTTTCTGGAGGAGAGTTTAGAAGCCTACACGATTCTGAATCCATGTTCGTTTTCAGTGTGTTTGCCTGTTTATTTTGAGTTTTTCTGTTGCAGTTGCCGCGGTGTTGGATCTAGCTAGCCCGTTTTTCCGTCGGGGGAATTCTCGTCGAGCTAATTCTTCCTTGAATGCTCGGCTCTGGAGGCGTGTAGATCAGGTGGGTTTTGTGATTTGAGTGGATTCACGCTAATTTCTTTTCATGCTTTAACGACTGCACTCAGTGAAGCTGAATTTGGGTTCTTACTCTCACCTATTGACATCGAGCTACTCGGTTTTGTTTTTGGGAATTATGATCTTGTTACATTGCTTTGATGAGGATCTCTGAAATTCTCTTTTTGTTGTTTTTGAAACCGTCGAGTAACGAGGTCTATTGATAAGATCTGACTGAATTTTATTTTGTTTTTTATGGATCTACGGTTTGGGATATTTTATTTTATTTGATTTATTTTTTTCCTTTTAACTGATAGGGCCGGGTTTTTGGCTTTTAACATCTGTTTTGAAGGTGGGGATGGAGTTAGACTCTATGCTCATTGTGTTTTTTTGAATGTGAGAACGATTGAGAATGTATCGTTATGGATCTACGAATGCCTTGCGTAGTAACTGTAGCAATTGCTTATGATTATCCTCCAAGTTGGTGAGATTCTGTTAATAAGAGAAACGTGATCTTTATTTCGATTTGACTTACGGTAATTGCATTGTATAATGTTGTTTATCTGTTCTCAATGTGCACCATCGTAATCTTAAGAAACATAACCTTCATTAGCTGAAGTTTGTATTGTTTATAAATTGTCTGTTGGTTACT